CATGTAAAGGTACAAGATCCCAATGATGAATGTAACTGTACTGTATACCTAATACGTACAAATAAATTCAATGAGAAAAAGATGTACCAGTAAACTCAATGAGAAAAAAAAACAAATAAACTCAGGTATCTTCCCATGATGTATGAATTTTACTTAATTCTTTTCCAATTTTCTTTTGGAATCTTTGTTTTTATTTCTTTCTGTTATTTTGTTTTGTTTTGTTTTGTTTTGTTTTCATGTTGGAGACTGCATATAACATGAGAATGAATAGACACCTAAAATCAATCTAACTGGAGTTCAAGTCTCTGCTTTATGTCAGGTATTTACTGTGGTTAATTCCAAAAAATATCTTAGAGTATTATATTCATGTGTAATATGGGGATATAAACAAGGAATAATCTGTTTGAGTTAAGTATGCACTTATAAAGTGTGTCTAAATACTGAATTTTCTATTAGATCAAATTGCCCATTGTAAGTATTCATATCCTGATGCACTTTGTAACATTTTCAAAGTTGAAACCATCCTCTTATACAACTACCTTTCAATACCTACCTTCTCTACTAAACTGCACTGCCGCGCTCGGCCAGCCGGCGGGTGCTAAAGCCGCTTGCAGCACCGGCGGTAATGACAGATGGCCGCGCCGGGCCGTGCTTTTCTGTTTTAATGCTCGGGAATATGGAGAGGATGAAGCTGAGATCAGAGTGGTAAGCTAGAAAAGACTGCGCGGGGACGCGCCTCTGGGAGTTTGCGATTTAAGAGTATTTTGTTTGGCAAAGGGAAGGGGATGTAAGATCAGGGTAACCAGAGCCAGAAACTGTGCTGTGTGCTCTTTGCAACTTGTATGTAAATGTGAACTTGTCTCAAAATTGTAAACACTTTTTTTTTTCAGAACTGGGGATTGAACCAGGGCTTTTGCACTGAGCTGCATCCTCAGCCCTTTTTCTCCTTCCTCCTCCTTCTCCTCCTCCTCCTTATTATTATTTTTATTATTATTATTATTATTATTATTATTATTATTATTATTATTTATTATTTTGAGGTAAGCTCTCACTAATTTGACCAGCCTGGGCTCAAGCTTGGAACCCTCCAGTTGCAGTCGGGGAAGAAAAAAAAACACTGATATTTTTTAAAAAGGAATTCAGGGCCAGGGATTTAGCTCAGTGGTGCCGCCGCCTGCCTTGCAAGCGCAAGGCCCGGAGTTCGATCCCTGGTACCAAAAAAAAAAAAAAAAAGGAATTCACACCCAGACAGTCAAGTCCATTTCTGGTTAGCAAATTCAAGGCAGATAGCTTTATAAGTGTTTGCAAGGATCATTTGAGGTGTGCTGTTTTTCTGGATGAGGTTGGATATCCTGTCTGGACTCATATAAAAGGCATTAATTTGGGGGTGTTGGAATATGCAGTTCAATTAATTATCGGCTTGAACTCTATTTCAAAGCCCCGGAGTACCTAGGAGCCTTTAGGGCCCGACCATAGCTGGAGGGTCTCGAAGAAGCCTAAGACCATGAACAACTGCTTTTATGTTTATGTCTTGACTTACAGCTCAGATAAGGAAAAATTTTCCAAGGCTAACGTTTTGGCCTTAGGCACACTTTGGAAATAATAAAACACCCCGAGGGTGATTGCAGACAAAGCCATTGGAAAAATATTTATTTTCTGATGCTGGTACAAATTTGGGATGGGGGTGGATGAAGAAGGGAAGCTGAAAAACTAGCATTACAGGAACTGAATGGGCCAAGGGCTGTCACAGTCTTCGGGAAGTAGCTATTAGGCCATTAATAATAGCTTAGCACAGCAGAAATCTCTCCAGGTACCACGCTTGCATAGCTGTTGGTTTTTCACAGGTAGCCCAGGGAACGTCATTTGGTATATTTACTTTTTTCCTTGATTTTTTTTTTTTTTTTTTTTTT